CATACTAACATTGAGAACAAGGATATCTTACTCCCTCATGTTTATTTTCAACATGAATTTTCAGGTTACTTGCTGTAGTCGCGGCATATTTACATTGAGAACAAGAATATCTTACTCCTTCGTGTTTATTTTCAACATGAACCTTCAAATGATCTGCTTTTGTTGAAATATACTCACAAGCATATCTTATTCTTATGTGCTTATTTTCAACATGTCTCTTTAAATGATTAGCTCTTGAAGCTACGTACTCATAATCATTACATGGATATCCATCATTACCACTCTTGAATTTCTTTGGTTCAGATTGCAGAAAATCAAAGTTCTGATCTACGTGTACTCCTGAAAAAGACGACATAAATTGATAAATATGATTTATGAATTTTGTGGACATTATTAACAAACTGAAATATTAGAATATTAATATTTGAGAAAAACCTGTGGAGCATCACAAAAAATTTGTTCACTATATATATTAAATCAGAACTTATCATGAGCATATCAAACCAAACACATTGGTAATTGATGTTAACTTTTAGATAAAATTAAACTATTCATAGGTTGAATGAGTTGAAAATTTTTTAATGTGTGAATAAAAATTCAGGAGTTTTAATAAAAATTCTCACATCAGTTCCAACAAGAGTGTATCAGTGCATGCATCTTATGTTTCATCTCAAAAGGAAACAACCACATTTGTAGGTAGGTTTTGATTGTATTTTTATACCTCTTGCTAGGGCTGGGCAAGTTCCGACTTTTTTTAAATCGTTCCGTTCCGTTCTAGAACGAGGGCCTTCAGCTAAATCGTTCCGTTCTTGTTCCTCTTTTTTTTATTGTTCCGTTCTCGTTCCGTTCCGTCCCGTTCTGAGTAGAAGAACGGTTTTCCCGTTCCGTTCCGTTCTAGAACGAGGGCCTTCAGCTAAATCGTTCCGTTCTTGTTCCTCTTTTTTTTATTGTTCCGTTCTCGTTCCGTTCCGTCCCGTTCCGTTCCGTTCTGAGTAGAAGAACGGTTTTCCCGTTCCGTTCCGTTCTTGGCGTTCTTAGTTGAAGAATGGTTGCATCCCTCTTGTTCTGTTCTTAATTAAGAACGTTTCCATCCCCCGTTC